AACTCTGGATTGTTTTTAATATGGGCGAGAAAAACCATTTTCATCCAGGGTTCCCTCCCAGGAAGAATGTTTGCAATCCATCGATCATGAATCCAGCCCATCAATCCACCATCACCTTAAGAGCAGTGGAACTCATTTAAAAAGTGTCCTGAGATAACTTTTGTTGTGATTGGTGCCATACAATTAAAACTGAACTGAAACTGAATGTTTATTTTTGTCTACTCAAACACAGTGTTGGGTGGTAACTGATTACTAGTAATATTACTTTCTTCTAGTAACTGGTAGTGTAAATAATATTACAACCTTACCTTTGAATATAACCACATAAGTTGTTTGGAGTAGCCGAAAACTAACGTAACTAGTACTGTAACTAATTATTGCTGGCAGGAAGTAATTTGTAAAGAAATAAATTACATTGTAAAAGGATTTTTGAAGCTTTTAAAATGACAATATGGTGGAACTACAATAAAATATTTCCTTTTATATCATATAAAGAAGCTGGAAAAACAATAATTTTAGATTAAAAAGGCAAACATGTGAAACTAGTCCTTTGTTTTTTACTTCTCACAATAAAAATATATTTTGACTATATGATTTATAAAACAGTATACGGCTGGCCTCTTTTTTTTTTTTTTAGAAACATTAGAATTTTACAGCAATTTGAACAAAATTGAATTTATTTATCCACTTTCAGTCATATCGCTCAGCACTAAACAAAAAAACTAGAAAGAAATACAAAACAATATCAAATTATTAACTTTTCTTTATTTAAATCACATTTACCTGCAGAAGAACAGAATGTGTTTTAATATATCTACTCTTTAGTAACATCCAAAACTGCAGGTTGTGTTCAGTAAGAGGAAAAGACAGAAACAACAGATCAGTTTATATTGAATTTATTGTTTCAGGACAGACAGACAATATTTGCTGCTCCTACACGATAAGCTGATACTACAAACTGAATACTTTATCAAAGGAGTTGTACGTTGCACTGCCTAGCTATCATCAGAAATAAAAGAGAACATAAAAACAGAAGAAGTGATTTAGCTCTTAGCTTTTCTCTGAGGCCATCTCCCACTTCTCCAGAAAGTCCTGCAGGTTCAGATTGAAAACGTCAATGCCTTTGGGGGACAGATGGACGCCGTCGGCCCGATACAGACCCGTGTTTGTGCCACACCTGATATTATCGTGGGTCAGTGAGGTGCCGCCCAGCTCTGAGATGATGTTCTGGATCCTGCGATTCACCGTGGTTCGGACCAGATCGACTTCGTGGCTGTCGGCGGAGTGGCGCCACGCCCTCCGTGGGAGGATGTTGGACCACACGAGGACGCACTGCGGAAAGATGCTCCTCATGGAGGTCAGGTCCTTTTTGACGGAGGCCAGCAGGTCGGTGGGGCTGTCGGTACTCAGGTCGTTGCCACCCAGGTGCATGATGAGGACGTCCGGGTTGGGCCAGGTGACCTTCAGCTGGTGGAGCTGGGGCAGGAGCTGGGGCCATGTCATGCCCTGGGTGCCTTTCCACCAGATGGCCACCTTGCTGGGGTCCATGCCCAGCTGCATACCTACCTCTGGAGACTTGGCCCGTGACTCCGCCCAGTACACCAGCGAATGACCACAAATCCAAACGTTCTTGGGCTCGCTGCTCGTCGGCTTGCCTACAGATTTTAACAGAATACATTTGTAAGTCGCAGAGCCTGAAGTATCTCGCCCTCTCAATCTGTTTCTATCGTATTACTTCTTGCTCCCATTTTACTGAGTTCTGTCCTGTATTAACAGTTCTATCTCATTATATCAATCATTTAATCGATAAGTAATAATTACTGTATCAGGAAAGTTCATTCACAGTTTTGGTTTTAGTGAAAACACAAAAACGTGCTAATATAAAACCTCCTGATCACAGAAACATGTTTGTGAACTGTACCGAAAGAATTTTAGTGTTGGATGTGAAATGTAAGACAATTACATTCTGTATTTCTGATCAATCAATTAAGAGATCAAAATGGTCACCTACCTTCACAACAAATTTTTTACACGTCAAAACAACAAATAGTGGCCTTCTACAACGTATAACTTTAAAATTAAACTGCTTTTATGATAAAAAACGTAATGGTAAAGCTCTGGATTACCTTAAACTGTGTATTTATATTGTCTCCCTAGCTAACTGTTGACTCTATATACCCCGTTAATCAATGCTGGCTGTGTATGGAAACATAACATGCAACAAAGCACTAAAAAACATTTGAATCTTGAAATTAAAATTTCACTTCTAACCTACACTTGATTGATTTAATGAAATTATAATCAATGAATTAATTATTTCCACAACTTTTCCTCTACTCTACATTTCTAATGGTCTGATTTCAGTCCAGTATTTCATTAAGAGAAAGGAAATGGAATTTATTTGATGACTCATCCTGCACTCGGGGGCATATACTAATGCTGCGTCCAATCAAACGCTTTCTCTCTTCTGACGCCGACGGAGCAAAGTTTTTCTGAGGGCCGATGTGTTACAGACATCTATGGCCTCACTGAGTAATGTACAAAGGCCTACTTGCTATTGGCTGCTGTATCAATATCCACTACAAGTCCCTCCCTACTGCCTGTTAGATTAGATGTATACACTTTGAAATAACATGAAAACATTCAATATGTTGCTGCCATTAAATTGGAAGTAGGTTACGAGGACGTTAACACTTTGACTGGTTCAAAAACAATAATGTGGGTATTAACTTTCACTTTGTATCCAACCACTGATTTGAGGAGGCTGGTGGGTGGACTGATGGATGTTTGAAAGGTTGATCATTTGGGACATTATTATTGTTTTCCATTTCTGTTCTCTGACTCCATACTGGACCTCATCATCTCCACTGGTAGCCTAGTCTGGTTGTCTGTCCTGTGCTGGTCACAGGGCCGCAGCATGTGAACAGAAGTTACCTGAGCAGCATGTTTAAAGGCAAAGATGAGACTGGCTGTGTGATCACAGTGGGTTTAAATGCGCGTAAGTGATACTGTCGTTTGCACGATGGATCCGCAAAAGTTACGCATTCAAACATCATCTGAGATGTGACGGTGAGTGCTGTAACCAGTGTGCTGATTCAAAGACTGAACAAAAGCACAAAACAAATGGCAAAACCTTCACAACCTGTTAGCATCATGTACTGTATTCTATTACATCTTAACATTTTATGGTTGTTAGCAATGAGCTAGCAAAGGTCCTCACATCTACGTTTTAGTGTCTGAATCCTCGACAAACTCATCTAAATATAAGTGACTCGATTTTAAGAACCAAACTGATGACTGAGTACTCGTAAATTGTGTCTGCTAAAGCTAACAATATCATTGAGTTCTTAAGGATGCTAATAGCACTCTACATTACCTTCTTGAGCTAACATAGATAGTTTCACAGACTGAAAGGAAAGGTTCATAGCACATAATGCAAAAGCTCTCAACTTTTGATATTCAATTTTAACAATAAAAAATAATAATTTATTAAGTTAATGAGTTTAAGATACTGATGTGAGTCTTTCTTAGTAGGCTAAGCTGATTAAAAAGTACACAAATTTAGCTCAGACAAGATGCTATGTAACATTACTGAAACCATATTCTTAAGAATAATCATGGACTATAATGTCATCGAGTAATCACCATGACATTATATACATGGCCCCTATAGTAAAAGCTCTCTATGTTAGCTTCCTGAGCTAACGTTAGCTTCAAACTGAAAGGACAAGCTAGTTTGCGGCACAGAAAACAAAAAGGTCCCAATTAAGAGTTACTATGTTTAAGTCATTTATGTTCATATGTAAGTGATATACTTAGGCATAAATTTAGCTTTGACAGAATGATACTTAATATTACTCAACATATTCTTAATAATGACCACGACATTCAGAATAAGCATTATACTGATTGCACTTACTGTGTTAATGACAGTCACGTCTGACACTGTTACAGTTAATGACATCTGACTGACGACCCCGATATGATGGTGAAAACTCTTGCTGTTAGCTTTCTAAGCTAACAGTTTCACAGATTGGAAGAAAAGCTACTTCACCAGCTAGAGCTGATAAAAATCTGCCAGGTGTTTGGAAATGACCTCAGTGATGTGCGAATGTCTTCAGTCATGCCATCCTTACCTCCGTGACTCAGTCATGACCTCGGTCACTCAACATTAATCCGATGACTCTAACCTGGACATGCATGAATCAATTCGGTGATGGACTTCAAACAATAAAGGGATGAAGACTCAATCTGGACCCGAGGTTCGGTTACTGGACTACAACGCTGCTTACAAATGTCATATACAATGAAGTAACCGTATTCTTAACTAAAATAATGTAGTGAGGTAAATGAGCTACCAATTTAAGATACAAAATCTAGAGTGTAGTAGCTTTACATTCGTACAGCTCACATATGAGGCTCTGCCTAAGAAATATAACGTTTAGTTTCTCTTAAATTAGCACATTTTCAAAAACTAATTTCTGACCAATGGTGGCAGACCCAACATGAAACAACCTATCATGGTGTCTTAGCAGTATTAGCTCTATTGTTCAAACTGTATTACCTGTCTGAAAAACTTATTGTTTAAAAATACTAACTTCTTTCAATGTAAATGAAATAGGAAGACTTTGCTTTGCATGGTCACAATTACAAGTAGTCTTCTGGATCTTCTGTTAAAACATCACTTCTCTGGATATCAGGAAATGCGGCTACACTAAAGTTTAACGCAAACAGAACTGAGCAAACTTGACTTACCCTGAACAGGACCTGGCTCAAGGACTTAGCACAGTAAAAAATGCATTACGTATATATCAGGTGTGTAACACATAATCCTGTACATAGTAAAACAAATTAAACATCTGGAGAATTTGAAGCAATAAACAACACACATTAACTTGTAATAAAATCAGAAGCCACTCTGTTATAACAGCTTCTTTGATGCAAGGACAAGTAAGGCCTTAATCTAGAAACGCTCAGTAAAACACTCAAAAAGCTTTCATGAACATGGCTTGTAATTCTGTTTACTAAATGGATCACAAATAACATCTTCAAAAAAGCTTTTTAAGACAGCTGAAATGATGTAAGATAAAACCAAACGCACCCTCTGAATTTTCTTTACATTACATTAGTCTCGCCCTTACATTCACTCCAACACAACCCTAGAAGTTTACATCTAGGCAATTCCTACTAGACTGTCCTAGACTATTCAAGCCATGTCTGTAAAAGCCACCTTAACCTAAAAGGCCTACTGTGTCCTGGACTACACATGCTCCTCATACAGTCACAAAACATGATCTACATGAAGTCTTAAGTCTGTTTTAGTGCATTTCATGTCTTTGTTGTAGTGTCAGCTACACTGGTTGACATGAGGAGCCGCTAACCAACCAAAGTAGGAATGAGTAGTACTACCAAAGCACTACAAACTTAGTGCTACCTCTTAGTGCTACATACTTAGTCTGTACTACTGTCTGTAGTACTAAAAGGTAGCACTGAGTCGTTGGTGGGGTTTGTCCATTATCTTTGTCCTGAAGCTGAGTTCTCAATTTATTTAAAGAGCATTGTGTAGCTGGTTTGATTCCTGTCTTTACAGACTTGCTGTCAACAAACACCAGATCACATCCTTAGCAATGGTAGTTTAAGCTAGCTGTACTGTGTTTACACTCAGTGGTCACTGTTACAACTTGTTATTGTCATGTGCTGTGCTGAGATTTCTTTTGGCAGGACGTAATGTTTGAGTGTCTCCATTGAGATTCATGTATAAGAAATGTTCTGGTAGACTAGATGAAATTAGAACTACTGGATAAAGAGATATTTTCCAACTTTTAGTCAGTTATGACACACCACTCTGGCTTCATATTTTTGTTGTCTTCAGCTGCTAAAGGCAGTGCTCTTCAAGGTTCAATGAGTATAGCTCTGAGATTGCCTTCTTTATACTGCTGATGTTCTGAGACCGAGTATATCTTAACATTCATCTCCCCTCTCATGAAGCAGAACAAGAGGTTCTTGCATCCAAAAATAGTCTTGACTGTGTTGTTAGAACAGTCCTGATGTGGAACCAGCTACTCCACTGCAGATTCCATTAAAGCACAAGTATGAGACTCAGTTTGGAGAAGAAGTAGGAAGGTGTATCTGCTGAGTGACCACTGAGTGTAACAGTATCTAAGCTGGAAGCAGTATACCCAAACCTAGCAAAACTACCTTGCTTTAAAAGTATCACTGGAGATAAATGTGTAGCTAAATGATAGGGCAGTGTATCATACCTAAATCATCATTGGGTACTGACCAAAATGTATCTGTAGTATCAACTACTAAAAAAAAGTTGGTATCAAATGGTTGGTCAATTTCATTTTCTCTACTTATACTTTAGTATTGAAGTATATTCAGTGTAATATAAAGTGTAATATATTGTTGGTATCAGTGCTAAAACTGTATTATTGTATCAGCATTGGAATGTTTACATTTCAAACAATACCTACACTAAATAATCTAATTTAAAAAAACCCACTTGTAATTTTCCAAATGGGTTCCTTTAAAGCTAGATACCAATAGAGTCACCATATGAAGAGGAAAAAGATGTTACTTTGAGAAGTTGAGATTGCAGTTTGCTTCTTGTCTTGATCGCTGGGCAAACCACTTGGCTCGGCTAACGCGTGGCAGAGGAGCGATTGATCTTTGTAGCGCTGCAATGCACTTAAGATATCTTGGTAACCTTACGGCTCCGTTTCAAGGCGTAGCGGTTTCTATGTGCTCAGCTAGTACGTCAGAAGCTCCACTGTAGCTGACTGCAACTCCTTCATAATGCAACCGCATGTTGGTGCTACTGGGAGAGCACAAGAGCTGCTAGACAAAATGTATTCTAGCAAAGCCATTTTCAGGGCAAACCTTGCTGTGATTGCTGTTCTCTATCACAAAGTGAAAAAGATATATCGGAGTAGCATTGAGGTTGAGCTATAACAACAGAGTGAAATTCTAAATCACTTCCTACCTTATGGGAATCTACAGTCAGACCATCTCGACGGAGAAGCATACATCTAGTTTAGCATTCTTCTTTAAGTCAGGGCCTAACAGGGCTATTTAAGCCGTGCTAATCATACATTCAGCTAGACCCACAAAACTTAAGAATACTTTTATCATATTAACGGTTCTACCACATCTTCAGAGATGTGGATAATCACGTTTCCTTGCGTTTCTCACCAAAGCCTGGCTAACTGTCTGGGAGAATTTTAACCTGCTTAAAGAACCCATCTAGTCAAAGAAAAAAAGAAAACAGGGTGTTAAATCTTTTTTATCCTAAAAGTAATATAAATGGCATGCATCTCTAAAATGTTAACTTGAAAATGTATTTATGTGTTTGAAGACCTAGCATGCCGAGAACAACCTTAATGAATGCTTAACTCACAAATGCCAGTAATTCAATGGTTGCTAGTTAAGTTTAATGTAATTTAACAAGTTTTGATACCTGGGGAGATCAGTGTGCCATCCCTGTTCTTCTCTGCTTTCTTGCGGGCTAGCATCTCCTTGTACTGCTGCTCCCTCTTTTCCAAAACCCTCTGGTTATACAAATCCAGCTGCAACATAAAGAATACACAACACCATTAAGGCTTTATCCTAGGCAGCTGCAACGTGGTAGGCTTTCATCATTTCTAAGGTTTCTACTTTATTAAATGCACTAGTGTCCATCTAGATTACCTGGGCATACATGCAGGACTATTTAGATTACTGACAGCAGATACAAATCCTCAACTCATAGGAACTCTACTTTAGTAAGAATAGTAGTACCACTGCTGATCATACCTTCTCTTTCTGCTTGCTCTTTATGTCATCATCTGTCTCTGCAGAGGTCTGAGGACTCGAGGCTGATGGAGACTCTGTGGGTAAACTAAACTGGACTGTTTTGACTAGTTTGGCTTGTGGCTGTACAGCTAGAGATTTCACTGTCTCAATGACCTTCAGGCATCTGGCCACTGTTGTAGAGATGGTTGTCTGGTCATCATTTGTAGGACTCGATGTTGCTAGTGTTGATGACGGTGGTGTCACTTCGGCAGTGGTCAAAGGATTGAATGAGTTAAGGGGTGGAGTTGCAGGAAGCTGGCCAATAAAAGGAAGGCCTGTATGACTGGAGGGTGGAGAGAAAAGAGGCTGTCCAAGAGGGTGTTGGGATGGAGGTCCAGGTAGAGGACCTGGAGGATGTTGTCCGGACGGGCGGCGAGGTGGAGGACCAGGAGGAGGCCCTGGAGGAGGCAGTCCATGACGCCGTGGAGGAGGTCCAGGGGGAGGACCAGGGGGAGTTCCTGCAGTAGGTCCAATTTTCTGGGGTGGTAGACCAGCTGCAGGAGGAGCTGGGGTGGCCATGCTGAGGGTTGTGGAGCTCTGGGCTTGGGGAATCTGAGTAGTCATTCCAACAGGCCAACTGATTGGTGGGCTTGGCTGTTGGTAGTGAGCAGGTGGAGGCCCAGGAGGAGGTTGTGCAGGAGGAGTGGTGGAGGGTATGCTCCCCATTGTCTTGGTAAGACTCTGCAGCTGTTGTGCCTTCTTCAGTGCCTCCAACTCTTGCTGGTCCAGGAATCCGTCATACTCAGAGACAGCTTTATGTCTGCTAAGTGGCTCCAAACTGGAGGACCTGACAGGGGAGTTGGAATGGATGTGATCTGATTCAATTGAACTAGTTCTACTTGGTCGCCGTTCTTCCCTTGGGGATGACAAAGTCTCTCTTTCTGTGGATGAGGACTTTGGGCTATAGATTTTCTCTTGGGCTCTGCTTGCCAGTTTGGACACATCTCCTGTACTCAGTTTCAGGCCAATCGTACGGAGTAGACTCTGGATCTTGTCATAGGGTTCTGTCTTAATATTTAGTTCCTCACTTGTTCTCTCTACTGAGGACCGTTTAGGGCTCAGTTGTTTTTTTCCCCCTTCTAGTGCTAGACTAGTGCTTGGCTGCTCTTGAGCCAATCCCACAATCCTAGAGAAACCTTTGCCATCTTGAAGTGCCCGCTCATGAGGCAGAAGGTCATCATTCACGTAAACCTGTTCTGATCTTTTTTCAGCATCCACCTTTTTGTTAAGCATGTCAAGGAAGCGATCAAGGGGTGGTTTCTCAGCTGGAGGTGATTGGCACGGTGTTGTGTTCTTCCGTTTGGGAGAGGGACTTCTAGGAGGCGGTTCTGTGGGAGAAGGAGGTCTGAAAGGGGGTTGGGAAGATGAAGTGGCAACAGTATGTGTTAAGGGAGGTTGGGTGGAGGCAGCAGGAACTTGGCCGGACTGAGAAGGTGGTGAGGAACCATGGGGTTCTGGAGACTGGCTCCGTTTGACAGGCCGATACGGATCATCGTACGGTCGGTCTGTATATGCCGGGTCATAATAGCGGTCGTCATAGGGTTCATCATAAACATCGTAGCGATCAGTGTAACGTTGGCTGGCAGACGGAGGGCCGCTATAGGTAACCTCACCATAGAGACGATTTTCATAAGGGCGGTCACCGTAGGGGCGGTCTCCATAGGGGTGATCACTGTAAGGACGGCTGCTGGGGTATGGATCACCGTAGTGGTCACCGTACCGTCGTTCTTGGTAAGGACTGTATGGCCGGTCATAATAAGGATCATCATACGGGGGGTGACCCTCTGGTCGTTTCTTTAAGATAGATCGAACTGGTTTGTACTCAGTCAGTGGAACAGCGATCCTGCCATGGTCGTAGTCTATACAGGTCCTCTGTCCAGGCTCTATGTCCACCAGCGACTTTTTGTAGGCAATCATCTCGTTCAGCTCCTCCAGTTCCCGCTTCTTTCTCGCCAGCTCATCATCCATAACTCCGACACGTCTGAGAGGAGGGCTCAACTCCCTCCTCTTCTTGTGACTTTCTTCACGCTCTCTGCTAATTTTGCTCCTCTTCTTGCTGGCCCTGTCCTTGCTTCTTTCCCTGCTCCTGCTGTGGCTCCTGCTGGAGCTCCTGCTTCGGCTGCGACTTCTGCTGCGGCTCTTACCAGGGCTACCGGTGCACCTCTTTGACCTCTCTCGGCTTCGGCTTCGCCTGTACCTGCTGCTTTTATGATCGCGGTCAACACTGGTGCTGCATCTGCTTTTAATGATACGTCCAAACTGGTCTCTGGGTGGACTCCTACTTTTACTCCTACTCCTGGCCCTAACCCTACTTTGACTCCTGCTCCGACTCCTGCTCCGACTCCTGCTCCGACTCCTGCTCCGACTCCTGCTCCTGCCATGTCCATATCTATTTCGACTGGCATTGTAGTCCCTTCTGCCGATACTGGTCTTGTTGTCCTGCGATCTAAGATTTTTCACCACCGCTTTCAGCTTTTCTGTCTCTGGTTTTGTTTTCCTGAAATGTCAGAAGTAAGTAAAACAAGTCAGAGAGGTTTTTCTTATTAAAATAATTTTACAAAATGTGTATTCCCATACATTCTGTATAGATGCCAACGTGAAATAGGTAATTTACCCAAAAGGTGACATATGACCTAGTGGTTTATATGTAGAAATAGGTAAACATTTGTTTGTTCCAACATTACATGAATACTAAAATTTATAACTCACTCAGTGTCTTCTGAAGCTTTTGTCAGCTTGATGGTCATCTACCAAAGAGATTAATACATATTAGATATATGTACTGAACTTCTGGCGCCGGTGCGAGCAGGACGCTTATCCAGTAGCTCCGT